CTAATTACAGCAATATCACTCTGTCCGATTGAGATTGATCTGGATCGGCCTGATATCTTATTGAACCCATCATTTGCTAATCTAAAACTGGTCCAATCTACATCTTAAACGATGAGTTATGTTTTTATCGGCTGTTTTATATCAATCTTAATCGTGCATAGTGTGCGGTTAAGGCATGTTCGATCTTGAGTAGATCTATTGGTTAGCGAGAACCGTTCCATGGCCCGTTATCACGGCCTGTGGGATTCTGCCTTTCACCCCACTGTTAGCACCGTGGAGTGGGGATCGTTAGTTGATAGATCCGTTCTTGAGAAGGCATGACCTTAACTGTGCGCTATGCCTGAATCGGCTGTTTAGCCAATATCGAGCGCTCTCACGAACAGATCACATTACGAGATCATTGAAGTAGAGATAAGTTCAAAGATATGTTAGCACCATGATCTTGTTATTGTATTACGGCCTGAATGATTCTGCCTCATGTCCCACTGATATTAGTAATGAGTTAGGATCGTCGAGTCTATTATTATTTCTACGGCCTGCATGATTCTGCCTCATGCCCCACTGGTCATGGCGATAGATGAGATCTAACATGTTCATTAGATTTATCTTTATTAAATGGTTAAGTGGTGTTGATTTGTTTCCTTATATAAAAAGGGGTTCGGTTACTTGTAATCATTGGCTCAGTACAAACCGATCATTATTGATATCTTATTGTCATTGATTAAATTATTGCTCGAATTATATCTATCTTGGATGATAACCGATTCTTCTTACACAACCCCATAAACTTTAAACGATTTATTCTTATGAATAAGCTGGAATCGACTATTTAGTCGATCTCCTCTTATACCAGCTCTCAAAGCCGCACATTCGGGACTATTTGGCAACACCGGCACGTTCTACCCTTAATTACTGATAAACTTTCTCTTCTTGTTAATTATAGGGTCAAATTGATTGGCACGTCTCGGAAGAATTGCGCAGGATCGACAACCCCTGCGCTGAAGCTAGGCGGATCTGCTCCATCGAGCAGACCCTTCCGGCTTGCTACGTGTGTCCTCGGCACGGGACAAAATTCTATGTCGACACTATGCATACAAAGGAAAATTGCATTTGGGACGATGATCCCCTAGTTTTATTCTTGAGTTATTAAAGAATGACGTAACTATTCTACATAAAGCTCACCGATTGGTTTTCAAAAAATAGCAAAGTGGTCAATCTCACGCCTCCCGGCTCCCGTGACTTTTATTTTTTAGAAAAAAAAATCCACAACTTTTTTTATTTAAAAAGTAACAAAGTTATACATATAACTTATGTGCATAACTTTTATACGATAACTTAGTACCACAAATTTTTGTTATGACTTTAAATTTTTAGAAAAACTATTTAAATAACTTTTTATTTTTTAAACTACATGAATATTACAAGAGCACATCATAGAACATTAAATATATACTAGTGAACATTACAAAATAACATAACTTACGTGTATAAGTTTAAGATAAAACCCACCAAATAAAAAAATATATATCATAAAATACATGCCTGCAGACTTGCTCGCTTTCGGCTTCCTTCGCGTTGCTATCCGCTTCTACCCGTCCCTCCCTCGACGCCATCATCCTCGCCCAGATCAGCCTGCTTCCACCCAATCGATAGTTCTCATCTCGAATCGGTCTACCTCCCCCCGGATCGGCCTTCTTCTATGCAGGCAATGGCCCTTGCTGCGCCCGGATGTCCGGGACGGTGGCCTTGCTGCATCGAAGGCCAGGCGGCGGCCTCAGTATGCGCATGGATGGCCGGGGCGACAACCTTGCTGCGCACTTTGACGGGCGGGGCCGTGATGTTGCTGCGCGCGGGCAGCCATCATGTTCTTTGAGCTGGAGCTCCATTGTCAACGGTAGGTTAGTCTCGAGGCTGTCACTGGTGGCGACCTCAACGTCGGTTTCGTCGTTAGTCGTTTTGCCAATTGCCTTGCTATGGATCTAATGCTTGGCGAGCTCGCGGGATGCAACAAACACGTGTGCTAGCGGGTGAAGAGGAAGAAAGAAAGTAGTATATTTTATGGGAATCGCTATATTACAGGCGCGTGAAAACTGCGCTTCTCTCGGGCGATGAATCTCGTCCGTGCGATCTTCATCCAACGGCCAGGACTTCTTCTTCTTCCTCCCGATAGCTCTGTCTTCCCAAAGCGTGCGACCCTACCGCCGCCGCCCACCACCCCGCCGTGGTGGAGCTCTGGCGAGACCTTACCGCGCCCGTGGCGGCCTCCCTCTTCCCCTCCCCCATCCCCCTCATGCCGCCACTTTCTTCTCCAACTCCGGCGAGAACGGTCGTGATGCTCCCGCTCCGCCCTGGCCAGACCGCCTCCACCGCCGCCAGGACCCAAAGCCACCCGCCCCTGTCTCCATGACCTGGCCGGCCTGCCTCCCCTAGAACCCCTTCTACGACCACCGGATTTGGAGAAGGAGGGGGAGAGGTCGGAGTGGGAGGCTACCGTCGCCGTCTCCTTCTTTGACTCTGGTGGGGGCGTGGGCGTCGAGCGGCCGTCGTCGCCTGAAATCGCCCGTGGTTTCGTTCAACTAAAATCTTGGAAGCGTGATATTTTATTTCTTGTGGCCCATCCATATGCATATGGACTACTTTAGTTCGAACATCTATACAGAACACTTTACAAATTGACACACATAGGGACTACTTAGTCCCAAAATATCTATTGTTTTCGTTTCTCGAGAAACAACTTTGACAAAATACATATTAAAAAATATTAATATTTATGGTACATAATTGGTATCATTGGAAAGATATTTGAATTTAGTTTTTTAATAAATTTATTTAGATACAAATGTTGTACGTATTTTTTACAAATCGAGTCAAACTTGTGGCACGGAAACAAAAAAACGACAGATAATTTGGGACAATGGGAGTACTTTGGTTGGCTTTTAGATCACTTTTTCTAACATTGTGGCTGCCCTTAGTACGGCACCTTAACCACATACATTAGTTAGTGAACGCCGGAGTGCTTCAGCCTGACACGTGGACATAGTCATGACTTTGAGTTGTCACAACCAGAACAAGCGCCGTCCACACTGGCACTGGCACTGGCACTGGCACTGGCACTGGCACGGCACCTTATCCGGCTCCAGAATCCCAGCCACCCAATCACAATCCAGACCAGACGGGCGCAGCAGAAGCTCCTGTGATCTGCGCCCTCACAATGCGAGCGTGATTCCTCCCCTCCTTCGCCGAGCTCCCCGCGGCAGCAATGGAGACCCTCCTCTCCCCCTCCACATTGTTCACGCCATCACTCCGTGGCTCCAGGAGACCGTCTCTGACCGCTAGCGTCTCGTCCAGGTCCACCGTCGTCTCCTGCGCGCTCAGGAGGCCACAGGCCGGCGCCGTCGTCGCTGCCTCCTCCCATGGAGACGGCGTCGTCGGCAGGAGCTGGATGTCGTTCCTGCACCACGGCCTGGCGGCGGCCGCGCTGTCGCTGGCCATCAGCCTGGCCCCCGCGCCCGCGCCGGCGGTGGCGTCGGAGTTCGACGTGCTGAACGACGGGCCCCCCGTGGACTCGTACGTGGTGGACGACGCCGGCGTACTGAGCCGCGTCACCAAGTCCGACGTCAAGCAGCTGGCCCGCGACCTCGAGGCCCGCAAGAACATCCGCCTCAACTTCATCACCGTCCGCAAGCTCACGGTACGTACGTACGCCGCCCCGCCGGCATTGCAATTGCAATTGCAGCTAGCATGTATCCATGCCGCCGCCGGCCGTGTCGTTTGCTAGACTGATCACTGACCCATGGATCAAGAGTGTCGCAGAGCAAAGCTGACGCGTTCGAGTACGCGGACCAAGTCCTGGAGAAGTGGTACCCCACGATTGAGGAGGGCAACAACAAGGGCATCGTCGTGCTCGTCACCAGCCAGAAGGAGGGCGCCGTCACCGGGGGGCCCGCCTTCATCCAGGCCGTTGGCGACCAGATTCTCGACGCCACCGTGTCTGAGAACCTCCCAGGTATGTAGCCAATAAGGCCACCCTCGATCGCCTCGCCGTTGAGACGGGCCTCCGATCCTAACTTGCAATTGTTTGCTGCATGCAGTGCTCGCGACCGACGAGAAGTACAACGAGGCGATCTTCAGTACGGCGAAGCGGCTGGCGGCGGCGATCGACGGGCTACCGGACACCGGGGGGCCGTCGTTCAAGGAGAACAAGCGTGAGTCCAACTTCAAGACCAAGGACGAGACGGAGGAGAAGCGCGGGCAGTTCACGCTCGTCGTCGGCGGCCTGCTCGTCATCGCCTTCGTCGTGCCCATGGCACAGTACTACGCCTACGTGTCCAAGAAGTGAGTGAACCATAGCGTGCTGTACAGTAAATGTTATACTGAAGAGGATTTTTAATCTCCCAGGTTGAGCTTCTTCTGTTGGAATTCTTAGAGGTGAACAGAGAATGATTAATACAAGTGCACACCCGTGCTGGTTAATTTTTCTTGTGGTGGCATATTATTATGCTTTTATTATACTGGGTTCATTATGTGAAAATCGACAACAATTCGTTGCCGCAGTTAAGTTATTACCTCTGTGCAGGCTCAGCATTGGTTGCAACGTGGAACTCTTAGGACATGTTTGTTTGAGCTTTTGGACACTTTTAAAATACTAGCTTTTGAATGTTTAAAAGTCGAACAGCTCTCATAAGCTAAAGGCCTAAAAGCTCACTACAGTGACCTTCTGGCTTTTGGCTTTCAAGAGCTTTTTAGTTTTTGAAAAGTCTAAAAGCTAATGTCCAAAAGGTCTCAAGAAGCCCAAATAAACAGGCCCTTACTAGTCAACTTGGATAATGCGATGTAATCATGAAAAACGGGCACAAGAAGCTATAGGTAACTGAAACCAAGCCATATATGATTTTATTTTTTGACATCAAGCTATATATGGTTATTAACAAGTAATAAATACATCGTATCTGCAACCAATGCTGTTAAAGTGATTGAGTAAAGGGGACATCGTATGCTAATCAGAATCTAGGTTTTATGACGAATGGCATCTTATCCACAAACGGAGGATCAGAGTATTTCCCGGTCAGGATCTGCGATGCAATATGGAAATTTGCAGCTTCTGTGTAATGTAATCCATCCCAATTGACGAATTCAGTAGTGTCACTGCACCCTTTTGCAGTTACCAGCTTACCATTCAAAGACACTGTCTGCCCACATGGTACGTTACCATCATAGTTCAGGGGTGGACCTCCATATCCACAGCATGCTTGAGTGGCATGCTCGAACCCTGTCGAAAAGCAAAAGTGGATATTAGAATTGCTTCTTCAGTTATTGTTCACACACAAAAATGATTGCTTTAATTTCCTGATGAGCTAGCAACAGGCCTAAAACACTAACATTCACATGAAATGCCACAATCCACAGAGAAGGTCTACAGTACTAACATTCAAGTGAGATGTCACAATCCACAGCACAAAAATCAATGGCATACATGTAAGCAGAGTGATGCAGAATGCCCACAAAACTAAAGCATCTTTGTTTTTCCACCTGTATTAGTGGGGTTTATTATTGCAAGCACTTGTTCAGGATTGATGGTGCTGCTTCATTATAAGTTTATAAGATTGCTCTTCAAAGCAAGCATAACACTCGAGAGTCAAGATACATCTTTTCATAGTAGTGCCGCAATATGCCGACAAATCTTAAATGATCTGGATGCACGATAATCACACGAAATGGAAACTGTATGCTACATACCATATAGAGAGTAGTTGGCGATCAGGCTGTATTTGATTGTGTGGATGTCCACATAAGTGATGCTGGCTCCAGCGAATTCTCCTCTCAACTTTGTGCAAAGTGCATGCAGCTGTAAGTTGAAGAGTTTTGCGGCACGGTTGTGCTTTGCTACACAGTGAAGCTCATCCAATTGGGATGGGTCTTTGCCAAACAAGGCTATGTTTTGAGGTAAGCAGCCGAGGGGACCTGTGTTGTGAATCCAGAATTTCCTAGCACCTTGGTCATATAGTTTCTGAAATAAGGAACAAAGAAAATGAGTTAGGTGTGAAGCACCAGCTTACCCAAGACAGCATATCGGAAGAAGAGTATGGAAAGAATGAAATTGCTGAATTTGAGACCTAATTGAATTACATCAGAACCTGATCCCTGTACATTAGTAACAAATTTGGGGAAAGGGTCATAGAAAGCTGCAAGGATAAAGGTGCTATATCTTTACAAACCTTGAGACCATTTTCAAATTCCAACAAAATAGTTGGAATGGATGCAATGACTTGGTCCTCTGTTTTTGAATAGAATTCACCAGCAAGATCATTTTGCCCAATATCAAACATGTAGAGTCCCTCTGAAAAGTAATCTTCCTGAGGAATATATTTCCTGTACATATCTCCTGCATAAGTAAAATAAAATTACTGCACCAACATAATAACTCTGTAGTTTCAACTGTTAAATTTAAAAGGCTTTGGTTGGTTATCAATTACAGAAGCAATGAGCTAGTCTTCTTTGTAAATTACTCTATATTATGTCTTCTTATTTACAACGATGATGCCCATTGCTTTGCTGAGAAGGTTATGCACTTATGCTTATGGGACAGGCAGATGACATTCCTATCTTGCTTGGTAATCCACAATTTTAGAAGGTGGGGCCTAAACAGCAAACTTCCATACCTTTAGACAGGAGCTTAGTAACTTTATCCTTGAAGGCAAAGAATTGCTTAATCTGGAGTCCAAATGAAAACGGGCTGACTGATGTTGGCTTTGCTGGTGTGATTGAACATCCAGCTTGAGCAAAATTAACACCGGTCCAAAAGCTTGGTGTACCAAGAGAATCCAAATACGCATTGAGGAGTGGCATATCAATTGCCTCCACTGCACGAATAAGTTTATGAAATAAGAATGAGATAGCAGACAACAAATTTCTATGTGACAAAAAAGGGAGAGGTGAAAACTTGGCTCTCAGCAAACTCAAATACTACAAAGTTGCTATGTTTGTCAGGTATAGGCCTCTGCATAAGTTTGTTTTTGGCCAACCAAACAGATACTGCGGTACTGCAGTGCACATTGCAGTGGCCAACAACTCAACCTTTTGATGCTGTCTAAAATAAAAATCACTTTGTATGTCATTTCTGTAATTCTTTACAATAAATCTGCACAATCAAATTCCTTGCTTCGTAGTTACTCCATCGAACCCCCACAGCTTCTCATTGATTTCACCAGAATCTAAAGCAGCTGTGAGCCATAGTCCTTGTCAAGTTGCTTAAATGCAAGCACATGGGACTGAGAGGGATCAATCAGTAGACCCAGGAAAGAAGGCGGCCTATGGCAAACCAAATCTCACCAGAAATTAAGCAATTACAAACAGCAATTCACAATTGCTAAGAATTCCACCGAGAAGCGGCACTCACTTTCCTGCAGATCTACCAAATCCCACGAAAATGCCGCGACGAGCAACGACTCTGCTAATTGCTGGAACTGGACCACATACACCCAACACAGTTTCTCAACGGGTGTTAGAACAGAGCGTACAACCACCAGGGAGACAAGGACCATTTGCAAAGTTGCAACGATGCCTCAAATCTCCACTGCCTAACCACCACACGGGTGTATTTGTCCTGTCCGGCCACAGACCATCGCCCTTTTCCCAACAACCGCCCGCACGAACTGGACGAGATGTCTTCAAGAATCAAAGACAGGCAAAACCACATGGACAGCTTTCTTGTTGCTACACCCGGTGGGCGCCAAGAACTGGACATCAACAAGGCAGCTTGAAGAATTCATGGAGAATAGAATACAATCATCCGTGCACCGATTATGTCGGCACTGGGGGGTGCAGTGCAGGTGGTAGAAGTTGGTGCACTAACGAGTGAATTCAGCAAGATGGAGCGAGAGGCGGGCGTACTGAGGAAGTCGATGATGAGGCGGCCGTCACAGAAGCGGCCGGCGGGCCCGCCGAAGAAGGTGGAGCCGTAGGGCGGGAAGATGGCCTCGAAGCCGGCGGCCACGCGGCCGCCGGTGTCGGAGTTGGAGTCCCCGAAGTTGAACACCGCCGGGAAGTTGAAGTCTGTGGACGCCGCCACGCGGCCGCCACCGCCGAGGCAGAGCAGGGCCACGACGAGGAGCGGCACCGTGAAACGCATGGCCGCGGCGGGGATGGCGGTTGGGGCTCCGCTGCCCAGCTCCCTACTCTACTCCGCTCAGCTCTGCTATGCTGCGTTGCTGCTTGCTACAACTCCAGGTGAGGAGGAGAAGAAGGAGGTGGTGGCGGAGGTTGCTGATGCAAGCTGAAGCTTTGGAGCAGAGCTGGGGCAGGGTCGCAGGGACAAGGCAGATTTGATTTGAGTCTGGGGTGTCAAGGGTGAGGCCATTAATGATTAAAGTGGGTGCCTACCTTTTGTTGCTGACTTTTGATCTTTTGATTACTCGTGTTAAAATGGCTGGGAGATAATTACAGAGATCGGCAGGGGTACGTAGGAAATTGTTATCTAGAATTGGAACCACAACAAAGGGTGAGATCGTGAACTCGCCGACTCGCCGTCCCCAAGTTACAGTACATCATATGTATTTTTCTTTTTGTTATACATATTTTATAGTACAGACGCATGGAATCTACCATGTTTCCATACATCGGCGACCACTCCTTCGGATTTGGGGAGGGGTTATTGAGCTCCTCAGGGCAAGTACATCCGTGTCATGTCATGGATGGTCTCATATAATGCCATGTAATTTTAAGACGACTTAATAGACAATCTATGTAATGATTTGTTTTTTAAGTTATCCCGTAGTAACTCAGAATTTCTTATTTTATATTTAGAATAAATTTAAACTTATGAGTTGCATGGCAACGACAACTCATATAATGGTACAACAGTTGTCTCGTAGTTCTGAATCTTAGCTCATGGGGTGGTTATTTCGCGAAACCACGACTTCTTTCTCTCTCGCCTCTCTTTTTCCTCCACATAAGCAAAAATTCTATGGGGGCATTGCATGAGATGGAGTATGAGACCGCTGACATGTAAGAGATGCACTTGCTCTTAGAAAGCGGGAGCAAACGCTGTCCGGACATGTACATGTGACTGAGGCTGAAACTCAGCTCAATTAGGGATGAGAACATATGAAATTGGGCAGGAAAATCATTTTCCTTTTTTTTTTTTTTTTTTTGGAAACAAGATCAGATTCGGAGAAGGTAGGATTAAAAACGAGATCGGGTTTGGAGAAGCTATGACTAAAAATAAGATCGAGATATGCGGACATACAGAAATGGGTAAATGTGCAGAGAGTTAAAAAAACTTAGAATCACATGATCTTATGATCTGAAGTATGTTGTATGAAGTCATACAACAATATACACGTATGAAGTGACTCCATGTGTGGTATCACATTAACATGCATAATTGGTGATTCGTAGATGTATTTAACATAGCACAAGGACATATAATTATTAGGCGCATAGATGAAAACTAGATAAATATAGGTAAATCTCGAATGAAAATGGGATCCCACATAAATGAGCAACCCCTCCTGCCGATTCTTATTCCTTTTCGTATTTTCCATAAATATAGAAATGAACAAAACAAAAGTAGAAATATAACAGGATGGAGCGGGATGGGATTTATTTCGTTTGTTTTCATTCCTAAGGCCAATAATAAAAATGAATTATGGACGTTTGATGATCTATATCCAACGACCATGGCGTGTCGTATGAAAAACAACAAAAAACATACCCCTAATATAGCAATTCCCCCCTTATTTTAATCTCCTTTCGCCACGAGATGAAGTGAATTTAGGTGTCATGAGACCACAGCCTTATCACAACAACACCTATTATGCACCCCATACATGATGAACAAATAATACGTCTGCATAGTGCATACACTAGACGTAGGGTATTGCTTTAACTAGCAAAAATATCATGTCTCATATGGTATCATCTATATCTGAATGCATTATGCTCTAAAATTATATCGGTGATAAAAACACCGATACTACTAGATCAAAATCACGATAAAAATACATAAGTAACTTCTCTTACGCCGAGTTGACAAAACTAGATCGTGGCAGGACAAAGACGTCTTATTTGGTGAGAGAGCCTAGTAGTAGCTAGTAGCGAACCTGCATTACACGATAAGTTGCCATCCTTTCCCTTCTAAGGATGGGGCAGGCTACATAGGATGTTGCCGTATCACTGCCTTCTAAGAAAAACCAGCTCTCTTTCGAAAAGCCAAAAACGAATTTCGTACAAAGGAATGACCAATCACATTTGTTTCACACGGATTTGTCACGCGGAATCCCGCTGAGAGGTGAGGGCTGGTGCAGCGGTGCGGGTGGGACATCGCCTCGAGGCCCAAAAAGTTGGTAACGAACAAAGTGGAGTGGCCGGGCCACAAATTTTACGGTGGTTGGCGACATGCGTGTCAGGGGACAACGATAATTTACACTGGCCAGTGATGCGCGAGGGATTTGAGATTTGCTTTGTCGTCAGTCGTGACCCCACGCAGCCACGCTTGTTGTTTTTGTTTATTCCCGGAGTCGCCTTGCGCGCCAAACCACATGGCCGGACCACGGGCGCGCCGTTGCTGTACTGGGACATTCTTCATCGCTTTCTGCCATGTTCGCAGCGCGAAAGCGTGCCGTGCCCGTGCATCAGCGAGATCGGGACCAGCTCAGCGTGTTGGTAGAGGTGACCGTGGAGCGCCCCCCCCCCACACACACACACCCAACCCACACAAAAGGAACAGCGCATTTATATGTATGTATTTTTTTTTGAAATGCTATACAACACACGTGTTTTAGCAAAAAAAAATATATGAATTTTTTTTTCTCTCTCTTTCTCACCGGTGACCACCGGCGCTGGCGACGGCGAACGGCGAGAGCGGCGGCGGTGGATCTGTGATTTGTCCTTTCATAGAAAAAAATTTGTGATCTGTGATCTGTGGAGGTAGAAAAATGGTGAAGGCTGTTGAATCTTAATCCTATAGTGTAAAAAATTAATGTGTTAAAACTACATAAAACATATGGTTATGTAGTAGACATACTTATTTTTTTTCGTGGTTTCTGTCTACGAGAAAACGAAAATTTCGTTAGGCCCAATCACGAGAGGGACAGGACTCACAGGAGCCGGATGCGGAAAAGATCGTTAGGGATGGGTCTCAAATCGTAAAAGACTTTGGGTGGGTGCATAGCCTCTATAACATGACTGAATGACAGGATGAGGACATGACAATGACATGAGGTGCCTGCCCATCGGGATCGGATCAGAACTTGGCAAGGAGACGCGTGCAGCCTCGTGTAGTCGTGTTGCATTGATTTTCAGTGGACGGCTGGCCGTGCTATCATTGACTACACCTTCCATCCACTTCCTCCCTATCAAAGCACCGGCCATTTGTTGCTCGCTGGCCTACTATAGCTAGCAATCCTAGAAGAGAACAAGATAAGACACTGGCGATCTGATCCCTTCTTCATCCGTGCAAGTGCAAGTTTATCTTCAGTCAGTTTCGTTCACTCCCCAGAGAAGTGACTTGTTACAAAATTTAAACATGACAACGCTGCATTGGCTACTCATAGTCTGACAGGGAAGATGTATGTATGCCCTAGTTGCGTATTCAGTCAACTAATGAGTCATTTTACACTCTGCACAAAAAGATCCATATGCAATAATCAAGGCTGTCAACACACCCAGATTTTCCAGACTATGGCTTACTAGAAAATCTTGATTAGCTTAAAATCCATTCTCAAACAAGCAATTCCAAACAGGGCCTAAGTTTTAGATTAAAATTTTTGAATTAAATAAGAGAATATGTATGGTAAAAGAGAATAAGCAAGAATTTGTAGAGTCCAAAGTTTTGCATCAACATTAAACAACACATTGAGCGCTTCAAGAAAAAATAGCTGTAACTGGCACTACCTGGCTACATTATTATTTTCTAAAACGAGAAATTCAAAAACCAGAAACGAGTGTAGTAGGTTGTGACTTGTGACTGGACAAATCAGCAAATGTATTTATTAGCATCAATTGAGCTTATTCATAGTTACAATAGACAAACAGAGGTAAGAAACGGTCAAGAACAGTACATTAATCATGAATTGACCACCTTTTAGTTAGCACAACCCTGATGCCCAAACCCAAACAAGTCATTCTCCTCAGCTTTGAATTACATCACTGAAGACCAACTGTTAATTATTTGCACTAGAATGTTCAGAAAGTATACTGTGGTGAAGCTTGAACCATATGAAATGGTAATACTGATCAATACCTCATGTTTCTTCACACTTGACCAACCATACTTTGCTTCTTGTGCCAAAGGACAACATCTTTGTAAGGCAAATCTCCCCCAAATATATCTAGAGCACTCCCAACAGTTACATCTACTCGACTTTTTCCTGCTTTCTTTATCCTCTCTAGGTCATCCATTGTTGACACACCCCCAGCATAAGTTACTGGGATCTACAAAGTCAAAGAAACAACTGTGAGCTTAGAAACATAAACAGAAAGAGTAAACTGTAAAGATATCTGCACAGGTTAAAATTTCATTTGTTGATAATCTTCACGAGTTATCACACATGATAGTTTTGAGCTCAATAGAAATAAGCATGGAAAGATGGCTAATCAACTAGTCTTTGATTCAACTTGACCGAGACTTGTAGAAAGACTAAAGAGAATTTAAATTATGACCACAGTCAAAGTTAGTTTATTACTTCTGAAATAATAATCACCATCACAAAATATTTGCTATAAAAAAACTACAGGGGTATTCTTTGGTTCCTATTTTGGTATAGTTTGCTGACAGCATAGCATAAGCTGTAAAATTAGTGAAGATTACAGTATGCAGTAAACAGGAGAAAACAATATATAAAGAACGAAAGGAAGATCCACAAAAGAAAACTGGAAGTCCAAATTTAAAGTCTGTACGCACTGGTGATTGATGCCCCAATAGTTCCACAAGTTCCTCATCAATTCCTAACCTGTAATTCACATCCTAGCTTAAATCAGAATCAGGGTAACTGGACGATAGCCAATTTTCAAACTGCAAGAGCAGGATTACCAACAAGAATTCAGCAGATAAGAAATCAAGTTTCGGTGAGTTAGAGTATTTAACATGGATGAATATGGAAATTCATTAGTTAATACAACGTTATAATCAATCCAAACAGAGAAATAGATCAAACTCTTGAACTACATTAAACTCCAAACAGAGAGCTAGGTTTTAGATCCCCTTGTACTATTACAATTATTAATGCCTTTTATTTTATACTTCCCTTTATTGGTAGTTTATGTACCCCAACTTGCTTTGGATAAAAGGCTTTTTTGTTATTGTCGACACTCACAAAAATGACAGCACATGTAATATGCTTTTCATTTGTGAGCAGCAGATTAATTTCAATGGTAGGAGAAAATATAAAAAAAAGGGCAGACCCAGTGCCGGAGGCTCCCACATGAGTGGGGTCTCGGGAAGGGAAAAACCGAGGCAAGCTTTCCCCTCACAAATCTGCGGAGAGGCTGCTTCGAACCCACGACCTGGTGACTCAGTGAGACAGCTCTCACCACTACACCAGGCCTGCCCTTCTGGTAGGAGAAAATATATATCTATATAAAAAAGTTCAAAAAAGAAAGGATGTCTGAAATTCAAATCGGTATATAAAGATTGGTCCATCATATATATGTCAGAATAATTGGATGTGACAACTTGCAAAGCAATTTTGTCCCATATGGCCATGTCAACATTGCCATACAAATTCCTAACAATAAATGAAAGACTTGATAACAAGGAACATAGTTGCACCTTTTGCCCTCCACATCAACACCATGAACCAAAAACTCATCTGCAAAGGCAGCGAGATATTCTAATGTTGGTTCATCCACAAACACATCACTGAACTTTTGCCACCTGTCAGTTACAATGGTATATCTGCCATCCTAAACAGGAACAATATGGTTAGAAGATAATCAAAGATTGAAAGAGTGGAAAAGAAGATGAAAAAAGTGTCTGTAAAAGGAATATGTTTGTTTTCCTTCTGAGATTGCAGTAAAGAAAATGCAATGAAGAGTAGCATTTGTGACCACAAAAAGAGTGCACACACATAATAATACATCTACCACAGTTCAAATAAAATAGTTGAAATGCTTACGTCACTCTACCTATTTCATTGCACTTCGCATATATTATTAGCATAATTCAGCAAATCACACATTCACAACCCCACACTGTTCACTTGTTAGTTGATAATTTCAGTTTCACAGACGAAAAGAACAAAACATGAATCTAGCATCGTAAATGAAAATTAACATAACTGTCCTATGTACTTGGTACCTTTTTTCGACAGCTAAGGTCCAGCACAAGCCTCTGTTTCCCAACCAGCTTGGCAAGTTTTCTTAGCCTTTCAGTGTTCATCTTGCCATTGCTAAATACATACTACATAAAAGACTTTTATACATGAGTTACAGATACTCAAATAATATACAAGGTAATCTGCAGTAAAAGCAAATTTCAGGTATGTTTGCGCAAAGAATAAGGCTTGCCACTGACGCCCTTCCCCAGACCCCGCACAGAGCGGGAGCTCTCTGCACTGGGTACGCCCTTTGCGCAAAGAATAATGTCCAACAATGATAGCTATCAAACAAAGCAACAAGTGCAAAAAAACCGGGATGGGCGGGGTGTTCACCTCCACGTTAGAACAAGCTAGCTCAGGACTGTCATCGAAGGTTCTTAAGCAGAAGATACAGGTCTTATTAGCAGAGAATTATCAATAGTAGCAGCTGAAAAGTGATAACATCATCTACTTGCACCAAAGTTCTAAGTGGCATCCAGAGATGGGGCTTACAGCAAGGATGGGCAACTAAGGGTATTGACCAAGCCATGGTAAGAATATTGACAAGCCCAATCTGGAATAGGGGCTGTCCAAGAATGGTGATAAAGTATTCCTTGATGGCAGCAATGTGACTACAAACTTGCATGTCCATCGAGATGAAATCGAGGCAGCCAAGACGCTCATCACATTGGCATGAAGGAATAAACAAAATGTGGTGGTAGAAATTTGGACAAGAGAGTAGTAAGGAAGATGGGATCCATCAGCGACTGGAGATAGGATTTCTATAAACCTTGTTCTGACAAGAGATGCCAGGTTTTGTGGAAACAGTGGTATCTTCAGATCAATGAAAGCAAAAAGAAATACAAATATAATGGAGATAGGCCCTAATTATATCTTCATACACAAGTACAGACTAGCAAAAAACATTTATACAATATGTCACATATAAAGAAAAAAGAGAATAGCAAAGTTTACACAGATTTAGAGCATGAGCACGTACAGAGGTCACTATGACATGACTGGCTCCTTCATTAAGGTAGGACATTGCATTCTCCAAATTTATTCCACCTCCAACTTGCAAACCACCTAGTATGATAGTCCATGTTTATTGCAGTTTATCATTGATGGCATCTCATGGCTTACAGCAGAAACAAACCATACTAAAGAAGAATCACTAGAAGATGTAAAAGTCTCCATCACAAGAAGGCTGATGGCTGTGACCATAGAGAATTAAATGAGCACAGGACTGCGACTTTACCTTGTAATCTCACAGAAATTAGGGTTCAATATAAGTGTAGCTGAAGTACATTGAGTATCACCTAATACTACTAGACAGCCTTTGAAAAAGCCATCTACAGGGTGGGAGGCTAATATGTTGATGTGTTAATCATCACCAGCCTAGCTTTATATCTACTTTTTATAGTGGAGGCCTATCAGAATGGCACTTAACACAATGAACATAATTGTTGTACAACAAGTACCACCTTTCTGTTCTGTAAATTTCATGATCCTGTACGAAGGTCGTATATTTGACAAAATAAGTTCAACTGGTAGTCTGGTACATATACAGTTTCTTGGATACCATAAAACGGTATGCATATGCAGAATCATCTAATCATCTTGTATCTAACTCTAACAAAACAAAAACCAGAGTCACCATAACAATTGAAAGACTATGTCCTTAAACTTGCGTTGAATACAGATGATGAAATGAAATAAATAATAAATTTTCATCTATCATCAGCAGCATTTGATCATGTATTACCATGGCTACAAGAAATTATGATTCAAAGGGACAAGTCTGCTTATAGTGCTTTGTTAAAAGCAAATTTACTTCCAGGTCTCATCAACAGGTTAATTTTTGTCTCAAAATTCTACTCCCTCCGTTCCAAATTATAAGTCGCTTTGACTTATTTGGTTCATCCATTTTGCCATGCATCTAGACATAATATTATATCTAGATGCATAGACAAATGGATGTACCAAAAAAGTCAAAGCGACTTATAATTTGGAACGGAGGGAGTACTTGCTATTTCGATCTGCTATTTTTAAAATAGATACTTTGATTTTTATGCATTTTAGCCATTGCAACATCCAGAACACACAATAAGAGACAATTGGTAAACAATAAGTGCTACTACAAATAAAACTAATAAGAGCAAACAGACAAACAACACAAGAGGCTAACCCAATGAGCAATCACAGTTCTTGCAGCAACTAGATAAATAAATTCTCACCAGGATATGCACGTAGTGCCTCCAGTGCAGCAGTCTGGCTTGCAGGATCTGCGCCAAGCATTATAACATGTCCTCCAAGAAGTTCATCTTCTTTATAAAATTTTGCAAATTCTGCAGGAGATTTGTCTGATTCAAAGTTTGTCACAAGTTCCATGCCATCATTGGATGAATCCCGAAGAGTAGAGCCAACAATCTGTTTAACTTTCCCCTGAAAATTTTAAAACATTTCTCATAACATAAACAGTTTTTTTACTGCCACAGGTGTCTGAACTCTGAACTTCGATGACTACTGATTGCCACAATTGGGTAATTTTAGCACCATTAGTCCACAGCCTAACCACACCACAGGAAAGAAAAGAATATACGAGTCATAAAAAATAGTCATGGCATGACACAACCGGGGCACCAATTTACAATCATGTAGAAGTGTAGAGCTAACCGCAGTATTTTTTTATCACACACACATAAGTGTAACAAAGCAAAGGAACCATTTCTACGCACCTTGTGAATGTCGATGCATGGTCTGAAGCTAACGGCGGTGCACACAACGGCACGTCCTCCTGCGAGAACGCACGGCCAATTTATCTCAAGCCACAGATTACGGCAAAGCGAAAAGGAATACATAGTTACCTACCCGATGCGCCGCATTTCGCCGGGCGGACCGAAACCCACGACCCCACCCAGACACGCCACCGCGCCCACCGCGGAGACGGTACCCTCGCCGCGCATTTCGACGCCATCCTCCGCCACTGTGGTAAGAAGCGAATAGACAAAAGCAGCAAAGCAAATTAGGAGCGCAAGCAAGTACGAGCCTCCAAGCCACCCATATGCAGACGGGGGGATATACGGATGAGAGACCATGCTTACCACCACAGGTGCCACGGCCGGCCAGCGGGATAGGGCAAGAGCGGCGGACCGGCTGTGGCAGTGGTGGCGGCGCCGGCGCTTCAGTTTTTTTTTTTATTATGCAGGCTTCAATGGCTTTCCGGTTCCGAGTGGTGGCGACTCGGGATGAGGTGTTAATTTGAACAGTCATGATGCACCAGAAGATGGATCGGACGGCTGAAACGTGATTCACGGCTTTATTATTCTCGTGTCGCGGGTAAGAAGCATCAGCATTCAGCACAGAACAGACTTAGTCGCCTCACAACTCGACTCGCCGCCGGCCGCCGGCGAGGGGAGCGGAGCAAGATGTTTTTCCACATCGTGCTGGAGCGGAACATGCAGCTGCACCCGCGGCACTTCGGGCCGCACCTCCGCGACAAGCTCGTCTCCAAGCTCATCAAGGACGTCGAGGGCACCTGCAGGTAGGGTTTCCCATCCCCTCCTAAACCTGGCTAGGGCTACGAGGAGGAGGGCTTGGGCGGCGCTGAGATTGCATGGGGGTTTCTGTCGCTCTTGCCTTGCAGCGGGCGGCACGGGTTCGTGGTGGCGATTACGGGTGTGGAGGACATCGGCAAGGGGCTCATCCGGGAAGGCACGGGATACGTCACCTTCCCCGTCAAGTACCAGTGTGTCGTCTTCAGACCCTTCAAGGGCGAGATCCTCGAGGCTGTCGTCACCATGGTGAACAAGGTGGGTGCCTACTTGTCTGCCCGCTCGGGCTGTGCTTGCTTCGTTCGAATTGGATGCGAATTGGTGTGCTGGTTAGCTGGGTGGTGATAATCTTGGTGTTGGAGGAAGTGATTGCAAGGATTGGTTTGGTGTTTAAACTTTGTGTGTTATTGACTCTGCAGATGGGCTTCTTTGCGGAGGCTGGGCCGGTGCAGATCTTCGTGTCCAACCATGTGAGTGATTTTGCCTTGCTTGGAGCTGCTTCATAGTCAAAGTGTCAAATGCTTAAAGAAGTTTGAGAATTCTTTCTGATTATTCTAGGAATTATGCTCCGCTTATTCACTCCTTTAGTCCTTTATTATCACTTTGATAAATATACATTGCTGCTTTTGTCACAGGATACTAGCATAGACATCTTGTTTAAACTTTAATTAATTAATCTCAGTCAATACTATTTTGTTGAGTAATGCTTTTTTCCTCTTTGCTATTCAACCGCAATGCAGTTGATTCCAGACGATATGGAGTTCCAATCGGGAGATGTGCCAAACTACACAACTTCTGATGGATCGGTATGCCTCTTTTCTATATATAAGTAGTAGTGATGAGTCTTCTCATCATCTGTAACTACTGCAGAAGTTTGTTCCTTTTTAAAATGTAATAACATTTCTTACAAGTTAATTAGTTGAAAAATTCAACTAAAAACATCATATATTTAAAAACGGAGGGAGTAAACTTTTAAGCTCATCAAGTTTGCAGTAAGCATAGAGTATATTTCTGATGGATATTCATTGAATTATTGCTTTCTCATATGCTTTGCTAATTGTTTACTCCTGAGGATTTTGGTGATATCTTGAAATAAGATTTTTTTTATGTTTTTTATCCATTTTCTAAATCTGCATGTTACATCAATGTGTGGTTGCATATAATTACGGAGATATTTTGAGAGAGAGAGAGAGGGAGAGGGAGTCACAAACTCACAACAGTTCCTTTTAAAGCTCCTTGATGTAGTCATTTTGCTGTGCTCAGCGGTAATTGCTTGTTTGTTTACTCAGGTGAAAATTCAAAAAGAGAGTGAGGTGCGGCTGAAGATTATTGGTACTCGTGTCGATGCTACAGAAATTGTAAGATTATTACTATCTACATTGTTTATATACAGTAAAATGCAACTTTGAATGCTCTTTTTTTTCAAACTTTTGAGTATAGACCTGCAGATGGCAATCACATCACCAGTTTTTTCGACATCATTGTGTGAACACACATAACATTTTGCAGTCACTTTTCTAATATTCTTTTCTAAGATTGTATGAACAACAAAGAACTTTGAGTAAATAATAACTTTGATTAATGCCAGATTAATCAGCCATGAATGTAGGCATGCTTATTGTGCTGTACTGCTATTCTTTTGCCACGTATAAAAACATCTTGTTCGTGACCTGTATCTTAGTTTGGAACTGACTAGGCTAGAAGATTTTTTGTATGCACTAGAAGATTATTGTGCTGTACTCTAGTCTCATACTCTCGTTTAGCACTAGCCTAGAAGATTTTTGTATGCGCTACATCTTCTTGTGCCAAGAACTTATTGTTTATCCCTCGCTAAAAGCATATTAGATATCTGAAGAAAAGGGATATTTTCATTACAAAACTTCATTGTGCATTTGAATTCATACTTCGTGCCTTGTTATCAGTTCAATGTTATACTTGTGCAATGTTCTAACAGTTCAAACTCTGATGTTGCAGTTTTGCATTGGTACAATAAAGGATGACTTTCTGGGTGTTATCAACGATCCTGGTGCAGCAGTGTAAATGGTCTAAGAAACGAGATTGTACTCCAATGTTCTGACTTCTGAGTACTATTGCAGACTACATGTGTAATCTGTATTCTGCTAAAACCGCAATGGTTGTATGGACTGCAGAACCTGTTGAGAATGATGTCCCTAGGACCTTGTTTATCTTAACTATAGTAAGCAACTCCAGCAATAGCCCCCAAATTAGGGCCTATACTTTTGATTTGGGGCTTTCCTGCTTCTGATTGCTTATTAGTTTTCTATAAACTCGGCTCCAACTTTTTTTTCCTATTTTTCTTCCATCTACTTCCCGGTTCCCTTAACTCGACCCCCACCGTGAGCCCTCAGCCTCAATGTCCTATCCCGACTGCCTGCCCTCAACCCACATGCATACCCTCAACCACAAAAGTAGGGGATGGATCTTGCTAAGCCCTTCTTAGATGCCCATGCACACATGGATTGAGGGGATACATGACATTCTAACAAGCCCTAAAGTTGCTCTAAACTAATATAACTATTGAAACATGTATGATTATTCTAATGCTTTGAAGTCGCAGTTATCATGAACATCACTTTCCCGAGCCATTTGTACCTCCCAATATTTTATTGTAGCAATACAAATAATTGAACGCTCGCTGCTGTATCCAGTTTCCCCGTCCGTTTCGCGCGTCCATGCGTGGGCTCGTGCCGCCTGAACGTCGCTTATGCGGGGGCCGCTCGCGCCCTTTCCCGCTTCTCACGCGCATTCCATGTGCAATACTCGATCTATTTTTAAAACATTCAGATGCAACACTTGCGACATAAAAAAAAAGACAAATAAAACACTTAAAACATGCATTTGAAACACTTGTAAAAACAATAGAAAATGATTGCAAACATACGCAAAACATCTAGATAAAACACTTGCTACATATGTGTGAAACATATGCAACATCCAGATAAACACGCTTGCAACATAAGTCTGAAAAAACAGATAAAACATTGGGGACAGACACTTGCAACATATGTGTACAACCATTGCAACATATGCAACATCCGTGTGAAACACTTACGTCTAAAACTAAAACATATGAAATGTACACTTGCAACATGCATCATATCCCGATGCGGCCTCCTCTGTCATCTGCATTGGGGCGCCCAGCCATAGCAGGAGGCGAGGCCGGATGTGCTTCCGCACCAGGGCTCGACGCTTCTCCTTGTGTTGGCGGCGCCTGTTGGCGTCGTCGAGCGAGGCAGGCGGCAGAGCTCGATGGATGAGGTAGGGTGCGGCAGCAACAATGACGCAGAGGACAAGTAGGAGCTAGAGCAGGAAGTTTGGATGGGAGAGGATCTATTGCGGCCTTGATTTCACGCCGCCTGACACAGCCACGAGTGGACGCCGTGACGGGGAGCCAGAGGGACGGACGATGCGGTGAACACCGCGACAGGCGGAGTAGGGAAGTTATCGGTCGCAAGTAAGGGAGCAGGCAACCTAAGATGGAGTAAGGGAGCAGGCCAGTTGCCTATTAGGCCGGTCCGGAGAGCAGGCCAGTTGCCTGTTAGGCCGGTCCACTGCGCAGGCCACGTCCGGTCGTCGGACAGAAGCACTACCGATCAATAGAGTAACTCACACACAAATAGTTGTAGCTATCCTAACTAAAAAAAAATTAGCTTTTATCGAGTTTATAGAAAAAATATATTAACATCTAAAATATCATATATACATATACACCATTAAAATATATTTCATGGTGCATACCATGAATCTAAATTGATGTTGTAGATGCTTGTACAATTTCCTATTAATTTGGTCAAAGGTAGAGAAGTTTGACTTGTGATAAACATAATACTACTTACAATTTGGAACAGGTAATTGTAACGGATAGGGTACATCAGAACTTGGGGACACACTGTCGAGGCAAATCCCTACCAACAAGGATACCTTGCCGAGGCAATTTCCTTTCAAAAATATTCGCTCACATTTTACCTAGCTAGGATCAACTCAACAAACATCATCAAACAATTCCACGTGTGCACTTAGCTTTCCGTGATTATCTGCCTTGCAAAAAATCCAAGTCATGCTGTGCCTACAAATGATGGAAAATAATAAAAAAACTCGTACAGAAACAATAGACATGGACATCTCATCTTTAGATAAAAGCACGATAACTAAACTTACCTGCTAGGGACGCGATGTTAGTGTGATCCTTTGCACCAGTTTCCAATGGAGGATCATATGACATACACTTTGAACTCTAGCTCATTTCCACAACATGCTTGTTACCACCAAAACAAAAATCAAACAGGTGGATATCCATGAATACCTTTTTGTTACCATCAAACCAACTGGTCAGAAAAGGAAGCCAAGCTCACTACAGCAAATAGGCAAAGCAATGAAAAGAGATCTGCAATTGCAAATGATGATTCTGTAAGAGAGTAGATCTTGTGATTGCTTGGATTGCCATGGAATCCTCGAGCTACCATTGCCTGGACAAATAAGAGCATAATAAGACAATAATTCAAAAGTAAATATCAGGAGCAATCAAATGCGTATAAATTTGGCACAGCTGTAGTTTTAATATATGCTCTAAACACAATATAATCAAGTTTCACACTTTCTGCGAGCTCCCGATATCATTGGAAGAGCGCTTTTCTTTTCATTAAGACTCTATATTCTTTTTTGTGTTGTCTCCTCTACCACAATGTGCTGACTTCAGGTCAATAAGGTGAGATGGTATGTGATCTAGACACAAGTCTTGACATGTTCCAACAGTGTAACACAGTCATGCGACCCCTAATTAGCTTGGCCAGTGTCCAGTTAAACTTAGAGAAAATAACTAGCGCGTGCTTCGTGTAAATAGTTGGTTCTACTTCGAGATGGACCAAACAGTCACATAGCTGAATGCTAGGAAATGAAGGCATGATTTATGGATGCATCAGGAACCAATACCAGCAAGGGTTAACAAACCTGTATAGTTAAAGCAATTCCTTGCTGCTCCATGGTTCTAGTGCAATTTTTTTTAAACAGTATCATCCTACTATCAGTCTATCACTTAGTATAAAGTATATTTGACCCAGGACAAGGAGTTTTGGTTTCAAAGTCATTTCTGTTGCACAGCAGCTCAAAATACATACCTAACTCAAAGCTATGGGCTATGTTCAGCAAATTATCTTTTTTAGGAATTTGCAACTCACAATGCACTTATTGTAACTCAAGTCAATGACAACCAAAAAAGAAAAGGGAAGAAAAAACTAACCTTGGATATTTGCTCTGCGTGATCAAATATATTTTTGAATATCCGCTGGACATAGTTGAAGAAAACTACAGTTGCACATAAAATATTTCAGTTAATGTTTCCATACAGCTATCATGTAAAAGCAATTAATGGTACTATGGTAGTCCTAGACTCCTAGTCATATAAGATCTCACGTATGGGATGAGGGCAACAGAACTAGAAGAATTGCAACATAAAAGGTACTGCTGAAATCAGGCATACTCAACTAAGATGTATCTGCTTTTCGGAGTCACTTTTAAAGTTATAAAAATACAGTTTTGGCCACTATTAACTTAGTTTTCAAAACTATGTATGCATTTTGAGATGGCCTAAATTGCCTTTAATTTTAGCAATGCATGACATCTCATTCTTCCCCAAGTCTTATCACCAGAGTAGATTACTTGGACAAAATTATCAATGCTAAAAGACTGGAACACAAATGCCTCACTCGTTGCTTAAGAAATCATATACTGCAGGTCTACCCCTGCTAAATTACGTTGCCCAAGGGTGACTTTGGACAGTTTAGGTTAATTTCAGGTGCATTGATAAGAATGAGCAGCATGTTTAACCAATAAGAAACTAGTTTTTGTTCCTGCTCCTAACAAGCAGCTAGCAGATCTGGACTGTTTGGGTTCTGGCAGTGTTTGTTAACCAGTTCTGTTTTAAAGTCATTGGTTACAAAGGCAGGATGTAATTTTTTCCAGTATATGTAGAAGGTACTTACTATCTATAGTTTCCAAAGCTGTCAGCTTTTTACAATTTATCCGGAGCGCTACAATCGCTAGAGCTGAGCTGCGAACCTGGTTGGATATGTGAACAATATCATACACCAAAGTTAGATCTCAAATAGCAGAGCATATTTCTAGACAGAAATAAAACGTACTTCGGTGGTTACCATAAATACTTGCCTCATCCGGAAGGGACCGTGATGCCTAAGAGTAAGGGGTGAATTAGACAACTTAAAACTCTAACTCTAAACTATGGCCTCTAGTTTCACCTAATCAAAACATATGCAGTAAAGTAATCTATCTAAATGTGCAACTGCGGTTTTGCTAGGTGTGTTGCTATCTCTACCGCAAAAGGAGTTATGCAATCTAAGTTCCAATCCTATCAACTAGCCTATCACTACGCTAGAAAAGTAAAGCATACACCAAGATTGCAATGTAAATGCGGAAGCTAAAGAGTAAGGTAGAGATATACAAACTCCCGTCGACGACTTCGGTATTTTTACCGAGGTATCGAGAAGCGCGCAAGCTTCCCCCTAGTCCTCGTTGGAGCCCCTCGCAAGAAATCCCTCGCAAGGGCCAAGCTCCCAGTCGGATAACTCCGTGGATAGCCTCGGACCTTCCCCACGCGCAAGTGGGTCTTCGATGTGCCTTTCGGCAAGCCTCTCCCGGATGCTCCCCGCCGTCTTCACTATCAAGCTTCCAACGGAACCGCCGCGAGCCTTTTTCCTTTTGGTACACGGTGGCGGCCTCACCACAAACGCGGTTGGTATGATCTCGTAAGACTACAAGCCCCTCTGATGTACAACAATGGTGCGTGCAAGCACCGAGTGATAAGAGATGTGCAAACCTCACTAAACACTAGGCCTAAACCTAGAGCAAGCACATAAGCGGTGGTCTAATCAACCTAAACACTTCGCAAAGCACCTACGCTAATCACCTAATGAATCACTAAGCACTATGCAAGTGGAGATCACTAAAATGATGTATCAACACCCTTGGTATGTTTTCTCAACTCTCCACATCTCAAATGGTCGGTT